CCATTTCCAATAGTTCCTATTTCTTCACTAACCCAGAAACCCTCTGTTGCCTCTGCTTTCAGCCTGTCACATATAATTAGTGTGGCAACACCCTCCATGTGGTGAACCAAATCAGGTTGCCTTGTATCTGCATATACATTTTTGGAGGATCCCAGGGCTTACCTGGTTCCAGACAGTGGGGGAGAAGGGGGAATGACAGGTAATTAGCACATGGATCCTTTGTTGGAGGTGGGGAGAGAGGTAATTTGGAGTACACACACACAGCAGTGCTGAGCTCTGGGGTCACCATGGCTTGAAACACTCTGCTAGGGCCCAGCCCAATAAAGTATATGGTAAATCATGAGTCTTTTGCCTTTAGTCTAATGTCATGCATAGTTTGTACTATATACAAGTAGGTACAAAAATGCTGCTGAAAAGTGCATTTATAGAGTACCTGGGCTAAAACTTGCAGCAATTAAAAATTTATTTATTTATTTATATCTCTCACACATATATAAATGCCCCCATTCTAGATGAGCTAACTCCGCAAATTACTAAGTATGTTCATTTCAGTCAGTGTTTTCAGATCTGCTCCTCACTGCCATGTGCTCAGGGAGAGCAAGGTCTGACCGTAAGGACAAAGAAAAAGGGCTGCCAAGGAAGAAAGTTAGGGGAAGCAAAGAGCAGAGGGCTACCCAACTCCTCAGATCTATTTTCTCTGCTGTAGCAATTGGGGAAGAACAAATATAAAAGTTGAACCTCCAATAGATTCTACACCTGGAAAATTATATCAAGTTTATAAATTTTCCATATATGGAATCAAATTGTTCAAGCGTGGGGCGGGGCTGTCTTATATTTGACTAAATAAGGTAGTTTCCCCCACTTCAGGGAGAGGGAGCGGGGGGGGGGGGGGGGAAACCCACCGTTCTCCACCCATTGTAAGAACTTGATAGACTGTGTCATGGCATATTATTTTTATAACAGATATCTGTGTAGTTAGTGTTCCCCATTAATTTATCAGAAGTATTCAGAGGACAGGACCTCAATCACCCCTTTATTAGGATATATTCCTTTTCTTTCCCATCTACTGCTGCCTCATCTTACAGACCAGGTGGTTTGTGGATACCTCCTACCACAAAATCACCTCCATCTTTTCCCTCTATGTCTTCTCCCAGAAATACAAGCTCTCTCTCTTTCTATACCTACACACACTCTCAACTGTTCAGCAGATTGGTCTGTTCTATTCTTGTCACATCTCGCTTTTGACTTCCTTGCACTCCATGGTCCATAGCATTCATAGATATTAACCCTGCACAGTGCCTGAACAGATGACAAATTAGGGAGTGGCAATTTTGTGAAACTATATTATATTATTGTAAAACAAAAAAAAACAAAAACAAAACACCTAATTTTCCTGATACCAGTCGAGCTATCCTTTTGATGTGATCACTCTTGGCTCAGAAGGAATTCGTTTTCCATGCAGGATGAAATTCCATTAATGAAAAGCCATTTGGGACTGGCAGCTTTGCAGACCCAAATCCTCTTCCTTTGCAGACCCACAGAAAGTTCCACCTGGTCCTAAGTTAATCCCTCAGTTTTGCAAGAATGAACAAGAGAATGTAGATCAAGAACACTCAACCTTTTAACAGGGAGTAAACAATTTCTTGTCAGCTCTTCAGCTATTCGCTCTGAATGCATACAACAGTACGCTATGATTGAGTACATCCCATCCCCACCCCAAGGTCAAGACTTCTTTTATATGTGATAAGCTCCTGACTCAGAAAGTACTTCTAGGAAAAAACCCAGAATCACTTCTATTCTTTTCTAGAAAAGTGTTCAAATTGCATATGCAATTTCCAACAGGTAAATCAAGCAAATCTGCCAGTGAATGGTGTTCCATTTATAAAAAAAAATAAAAAAAGAATAAAAAAAAAAAAAGACATTTTGGTATAAACAATGACTATTTACATTTGTAGAAACAATTATAAGCCTGCCATTGGAGAAGACACTTCTATCTGTTCTTCTGAGACAGAAAACTCAACTGATCAAAGCGCAGGATATGAACACATCCCATTCTCTGTTAAAGCACAGCTGAGAGACCAGACCGGCAATCATCTCTGCAGCACCCCTCACACCCCACCCCACCCTCTGTTAGTTCTCCGCCTGGAGCAAACTCTGTGGACCATCCACCGGCTGTGGATAACTAGATAGCTTTACATACCACTCTCTCCCCTTCCCTGATGGTCCTGCCCCAGGAAACAGTCCTTGTAATTTTCTATATGCAAAGACACCCCCAGAGTCAGGAAAATGCCCAGCAATGGAATTGTAATCAGTCTCTGTTCTCTTTGCACCCGATGAGTGTCAGAAAATGTCTCTCTTGAAGTCCTTGAAGCTATTAAAGATAGTTTCAATTTATTCTTGATTTAACCCCAGTGTTATTAAAGCTTAGACTATTACATTATTTTCCTGACTTCATCATCTTCGTCAAATTGACTGTCATATGAGGAAGTTAGGTTATACTCCCTCTGGCCCAGACACCAAAAGTAACAGAAACCTTCTTAGTTAGAAGCTTCTTCTCATCTTACACTTTAGTTTAAAGTTCTTCAGGGTACGGTTATGTGCAAACACACCCAACAGGCAATATTTCATACAAGTTTTTTCTTCCTAAGTCATACTACCATTTCTATAGCTCAAGCCAAAGAATAAACTGAATTCAGTTACAACTAAAATCAAAGTATTGTGTTTATCCTCTATATGAGCACTGGTGGTTATATAAAAAAAAAAAAAAAAAAAAAAAAAAAAAAAAGAGGGTGGTGTATAAAAAAAAAAAAAAAAAAAAAAAAAAAAAAAAACCACACACACACACACACACACACACACACACACACACACACACACCACAAAAGGGGAAAAAACCCCATAGAATTTAGGAGCCTTAAAAGGGATAATTATATCTGTTATGGATCCAGATAGAAGAGTAAACACATGGATCATTAAGAATGAGTGAAACTTGCTTCAAGACCTAGATTTTGTAATGTAATTTTCAAACAGTTGCCATAAACTGGGATAATTCATCAGCTTCAGTGTTAGATAATTACTTTAATTTTTAAGCTGTCTCCCACCTGCCCTGCCCACATCATAAATGCACAATAATTAAATACATTTCCAATTAATTTAATGTAAGAAAAATACCAGAGTGGGAACAAGAAATGGGTATCTACAGCTAAAACACAAAATAAAACATGCCAATGAAATTCAGTGTTTGTAATAGCATAATTTCATTACAGGCTGTAGAAAGTGAGGAAACTTGGACAGAATTATGTAAAAGAATTTTGACACAATTAAGCAGTTCAAGCCTGTACATGATAAACATTTTATGCTATACAAGTTGCTCTGAATTGTCAAGAATAATAGTATTTATTTTAACTCAATGTTCCAAAATAAGAGCACTATATTTCTAAAAAAGAAGGTAATCTATTTTCAGTTTAGCTAGAAGTGTCACAATAAATCAGAGGTAACATTAAAAAAAAAAAAGACAAAACACAAACCTTAACTATAAACCTGCATAATCTGTAGAACACTTAAAGGAAAAAAAAACCAAAACAAAACAGCAAATCTTTCACAAATACAATGAATCACAGGTTTCAACACACATTTGCTACACTCCACTGCCATCTGTCTATATAAAGAGATAATTAGCATTTTCAGGAAGAAGAAATATAGTTTACAGTGGAGTATACTTGGTTCCAAATCAAGTTCATAAGATGCATGAGTATACTATTTCTCTTTCCAAATATGAATTGGGAATCTCAGTTCCTCGACGAAGGCTTCATATTTCTGAAAATGGACCCATGTTACTAAAAAGAACCTTCTGAGAAAAAAAATGCTATATATGGCTTTCATATATAAAATTAAGAGCATAAGATACTCAGAGCTTAAATTCCTGAAAGTGAGTCGTTCTTTTCTTACACAATTTTATTTAAAACAAAAACATCACTTTTTCAAGCGTATTCCTACTAGCATGGTAGAATACAAATCATACTTCTGAGATACTTAACGGAAGAATTTGGGAATGAAATAGAAACTCCAGACATTTGGCTCAGGTTCATCTTCTATGGTTACTTTAAAGCTTCAATGGAGTCATCTCAGGGTAAATCTAGGCCCTGTTCAGGAGAGACCCAATAGTATAGAACTGAGGAGGAGGGGCATCTAGTACACAGTGACAAAATGGCTGCATTAAGCACCAGACCCATCTCATATACAACATCCTCTTGCTGCAGGAATCATTACAGATAATGAGTAGTACTTAAGTCTAATGACAAGCAAAACATTTTATAAACAATATAATGTTATTTTGATCCATCACAGGCACTATATTGCCCAAAGATAAGCATTTTCACACTGTGTATGGAATTGCAAACACCCAATGTCTAATTTCCTCCCCCTCCCCCAAAGAAAAATCCTACAACTTCTGAACATACTTCACTTATTTTAAGTAGCCATATACTGAGAAACAGAGCTTTGACAAGACCAAATAATTCTTTCATGAGCACCCAGTGCAGTAAAGGAGCATCTTATTATACAAGTGCTTTAATTGATCTATCCTCTCCACATTCATGACTTTCTCCTTTCATAGATTTCTAAAACTAAGAACTATTAAATGTTGTAAGAATGAAATTCTCACTTGCAAATCCTTAAGTAGTTCACTTCCATTATGTTTTACTTGCAGCTATTTTTCTGTTAGTGCCATCTACTGGTTTAAATCTGTCATTAGGTTCTAAATCTTTGCTCATGTAAATTAAACATCAGATTTTCTATAAAACAAATCTTATTTACCTTATTCATGGAAATCATCATACACCACCATTGGTGAGCCTTCATTAAGGCAAGTAAGGATTTGGCCCAAAGACTTTTACTATAACATCCCAAGAAGGAAAGTTAATATATTTATTCTCTTTTTAATACAAATTCTCAGTCCAGAATACCACATTTTTTATTTTAAAAGGTAATGCTGTGGACCTTCTTTACCTGTACTACCTTTGCAAAACACTGTATTAAAGATGGGGTGAGGGAGAATCAAAGATTTTGGTGTCTTTGTAGAATTTAAATGTGCTGCTTGTCCAACCCAGAGTATTTTCTCAAACCACCGTTATCCAAAAATAAAATAAAATATACATTTCAAACTCCATAAGAACTAAAATCACCTACCAAGTATGGATATGACATTAGTGTTTACCCATGTAACGGCTCCTTCAGAATGATATCAATTCACCACTTGTAAAAGGTTCAAGTCCTGCAAAACTGTCTCTTGTCTTGAAAAGTGAGAATGTTTGAGGCTTTCAATGTTTGCCGATTGAGCCATAGGTTTACTCCAAAACCCGTTTTATTATTTCAAGGCAAATGTTCAATCACATATCACCTACAGAATTCTTTGCTCAAGTTTTTGTTAAATTTAGAAAGCTGTATCCAACTTCTGATGAAAAGTAATTCACCATCCAAATAGCATGCCGGACATGTAAGTCATCAAAATATCTCTCTTTATACAGCAACCAAGTGCTATTTTGGTATTGTACCACAGCAGTTTGCCCTGATTGATCAACATCACCAATTATGGAAACATCTACATTTCACCAAAAATTGAAACAGTCTGTCTTATGCTGTGAAGTTGGGCTGACCAAATGCCACTTCTTTTATATGAACTCATTGCAAATTACCATGTGTAAGTTTTGTTTCTCCTTGTCCCTCATCTTTACCTTGTAATGCATCAGGATCTACTGGCAAGTGATCAAGCATTGACTTAGAGCTGAATTCTCTCTCTGCAAGGAACATCTCATCTTTAGCTTTAGGCCGTACATCTAGCTCATCGATTTTCTTCTCCTCACTTGCGACTGGAGCTTCAGCAAGATTTTCAGATTGTTTGTCATCATCTTCTGTTACACATGCTGCAGATTTATAGCCTGCAGTAACTGTTCCAGTTCTGACCTCTGCAGCACTGCTAGGAAGAATGTCAATGGATCTCTCCCCCAAATCTTCTGTCTGCACTTCTTGCTTCTCCTCTATATTGCTGGAGCCTACATTAATTGAGCATTCACAGTGATAATAACCAGATTCCTGTTTCTTCTTATGCATAGCACAAAGATCGATTTGACTGAAGACTTCTGTACCAAAAAAGCTATCTTCATATTCCTTATATAGATCCGAATTTATTTTTCTGAAGCCCTAAATATTAAGGAAGTATTTTAACATTATACTGGCATCTTTAAGTGTATAAGAACATTAAATATTTAATACAATATGAAATATATTTTCCCCCTCCAGGACCTGGTAACATTTAGTTATGTTTATAAATATTGGAAAAAAGCAACATGAAAAAAGAACCTTAGAGATATAAAAAGTAATGAAATAGAGGCCCCGAGTAAAACAAGTTATTAGCACCACTTATACATTACACACACTTTCCTCCCCACAACCCCCTGCCCCCGTTTCTTCCCCAAACAGCACATTATGGGGTCATTTCCTCAATGTCCCAGATAAAAGCATGAAACCTAGATAAATCTAGTCTGTCACCATTCTTTAAATGTATTATTCTGTCTAGTTTTAAAATGTGCCTTAAGTAATTTTGCAAAAGTGATGTCCATTGGGAAACTACTTCTACCATCTCCTTAATCACCTTCAGGAAGGTTTCTATATTATTTTACTTGAAGTTTTCTTTGCTCAATTTCCTCCCATTACTACCTTGTACACCTGAATAATTCATCTCCCTCCTTGGTGTTAACACTTTACAATGGTACGTAAATAGTACACCAGAGACAGGTTACAAATAAAGCTCATACAGTTTCTTTTCCTTTTACCCAGAAGCAGAAAGTGTTAAAAATATTCAGTTCCATAGTCTAGTGTAAAAGCAAACTCATTTCAGCAAGCTGAAAATAAAAGGGGCGGGGGGTATAACAACTACAACATCACCATCTCTTAGAAAAAAAAAGTGTTCATCGCTGCTGATGTCTTGGCAGCCGAATCCTAAAGCAGTCAGAGTGTATAAATGGAAATGTCAATATATTAGAGTGCTTCAAGGAATAAGTATGTTTTCTTCAGACCCTTATTAATAAAAGTAATGACTGCCATTTTGTTACGATCAAGTAGCATGTTCAATGATCTTTGTAATTTAAGACTTGATATTACAAATGTATCGGTCAACAGCCCCCAGAATCTCCACTGACAAAAAGTGAGTAATTTTTCTGCAATTCTCTTTATCGACAAATTCAAAATATAACTGTTAGTTCCCCTTTACAAAGGCTAATAAGGAGGTTTGAATAATTTTACAATTATTCAGTCCCTCAGGGTTTTAAGTCATTCAGTGATGTGCTGGCAATATTTTAATAAGGAGCTCACAAGAAAGCTTTTAGCCTTTAACAAACCACATGTGTGTCAGGAGTGCATGTGCAAATGAAGCAAGGGGCAGATGAATTAGTGAAGTCAGGGAAGTAATCCCAACCTTTCCGTCAACCTAACAGGAGAATTCCAACAGGACTCTTGGGAGCCCTCTGTAGAGCATTCACATGGGGAAGTCTGTACCAATTTCTCTCAGCTCAACAGTCTGAACATCAGTAATATTAAGACAGTAAAATAACTATGAAAATAAAGCATTCCTGAACCTACCACTAACGGTAGCATTCTTGTTGAAAAATTGCCTAATTTGTAACATGGAAATGTCATGAAGACTGTAAAAATAACGTCAGTGTCACATTAATGCTAGAAGTGGTTTCAAAATTTGACATAATGTTATGATATTGAAAATGGAGAGCAGACATTCATAAACTTGCATGTATTAATTGCAACTCCTTCCCCGTGATCAGTTATCATACTAAATTATGAATTTAGACTTGGAGCTCCACCACCAAGAGTACACATGAAGGCTTTCCAACTAGATATAAAAATTGTGGTTAGGGTTTTCTGCATTGCTTTCACAAACTTTATGCACATATAATTTGAATATCTGTATGAAAAACAATGTATTTGAGAAATGTGACCAATATCATCACTAAAAATAGACAACATTCATACCTAGGAGGGAGCAGGCATAGGATTGCTCTTCCAATATTCAGCGTTGTGATCTTCCGCCATAAGTGTTTTGCACCAGAATAGTAGAGTTACTTTACCAAGTTGCATAGAGGTAACTAGCCATGTTGGTTTGAAGTTAGGCAGAAGGTATAGTAGGATGGCACCATATATGCTACCTCATTCAGGTAAGCCAAGCTTTCATAGGCTACAGCCTACTTTGAAGGGATTGCTATGAATATTATCTGATGTATTGGTAAATTCATCCTCAGAATCTGACAATGTAAGCTATAGCTAGTAGAAGTTCATGCCTCTCTGAACAAGTGAACCTATTTATAAGGTGCCATCTCAACCTGCCTTTTTCTGTCAACAATGGATACATTTGAATCTGGATCCTAGATGGATGGTTTGTAACTCAGTTAGTTTGCAGAAGGCCATTAAATTAAAAGAGGAGCTATTCAACTTTTTACCGGAGCTTTTATTTTAAAAGGGTGCTATTTCTCCAATTAGATGGAGCATATCAACTGTTTGACCCACCTGACCAAGGAATTGACAGCCTTTGAAATAAAAGGTGCAAACAACTGGAGTACCTTAGCAGTCCATGGCCCATGTGCAGACATTAAGTTTCTCCTGGAAGAGCCACTGCTCTCCCAGAAGAAACCACAAGTGTACAGATACTCAGGATTTCTCCCATAGCAGAAATGGCTGCTCTGAGAGAAGAATAACCAGAGGGTTAGGGTTAAACCACTCCAAAGAGAGTTTCTCCTGGGAGAGAAAATTTCCATATACATCCTCTTCTGAGAAAAGCCACAGCAGTGCTCCAGCATCCCAGGGTGCTTTGCTCCTATCTCACCCCTCCCTCTGGGAGACAGCATGTCACTTGCTGGACTCTACTGCTGCAGCCAAGCAGGGAGCAGAACACACCCTTCTCTTCACAATCCCCACATTGCACTGCAGAGAGATGCAGGCTGACTCTGAGCAGTGTAGGTCAACCAATCAGGTCTTCCCCGTGCACTGCTGCCATACCATCTTCAGGTAGACTGAGGGAGCCTGCAGAGCATGCTGATGTGTGTGCAGAGGCCCCCTGGCTGCACAGCATTCATGTCACAAGCTCTTTACTCTCCAGGGGCTCAGCATCTGAACATTGCTTCAGGTGTGTCTAAGTTTTTCAACCAGATCAACCTGAAATAATTCTCCCAGATCATATGAACACATAACAATTTATTCTATCTACATATTCCCCAGCTGTTTCATTAATCAGAGAGGAGAAAAAGGTGGGGGTAGGGGAGGTAAGGAAAGTAATTGCCGGAAGTATCCAAACTCTCCTTTATTTATTGTTTTGCACTTTATAACTTAAACCTTAGCAAAGTGGATGTGAAGTGTTAATAAATCAGACTAGTAGCACTTGACAAATTTGCTTCGTGACAATACAAATGCAAGACACTGAATAGTTAAGACTCTCAGCAATAGGGAGCCTGTCCAGTTTGCTCATTACATGCTGTATCAGTACTCTTACTATGTTAATTGCAACCTTTCCCTCAACCTTCGTCTAGCCCCAAACTAACTTCAACAGCAATTAGATCAGGCCTTAAGAGAATGGTCTCATTTAACTTATTTGTCATGTGTAGTTAAAAGGGGAAGGGCAAAAAACAAGATCCATGCCCATTATTTTACATTCAGATTAAAAAGCTATATTAGTGAATTTACCCAGTTGACAGCACATTGGTCATTTAGTTTTGCCAAATAGCACACAGCCAAGATCGGCCAATTGACATGGCATGTTGCTTATTTGGCTAGTTGGCTGTATGCTGCTCAACACGCCCATCTTGCTTCCCAGACCCTGGATCCGCTTTACTTGTACTACCCTGTGGAGATAAAGCTTAGTGCTTGGAAAAGTAATTTAAAGAGGGTCAAATATGCAGGTCTTCAATAGCTAGAATCATGCCACACATATAGACTGTTGTCAATAGAAGTTTTTTCTCCATATTTAACAGAGAAAGATAGCAAGCATCTCAAACTTAACATAAAAACCCCACTCAAAGTGCATTTCTATAACAGTGAAGTGGCAATTTGCTAAAAGAAAATGTAATTATAACCAGTAGATGGCATCATAATAGCTAAAATAATATTTTGTCCTTTATAAAAAAAGACAAGTACCAACATCAAGTTGTTTTTTTCTTTTCAGGCTGTAATCTATGCCCGTTCCTTTACCCCCCCCCCCTTTTTTT